GTTTCTAGACTAACGCTTAGTCTCCGATTATTCTAGACTAACGCTTAGGCTCCGTGTAATGTTGATGGTAACAAATGCTCCAATTCCAAGTGAAAAGGAGCCACAGTGAAATAACAGATTCTAGACCTGTGTATTTAAATCTAAACTTGGTTCGGTTTGGTTCAGGGCTTTAGCATTGCAGGAAGGACTTATTGGTAGGGGAAATAACGTGGTTCATGGACTGTGAGACAGACTACGCTGTCCCTCATTATTCCACTGAAGACTCCGAACATTAAGCCTGTGATTTCCTATTGCCCGCCTCACTCCCTGTACGGGTTACTAGTTGTTTCCCTGCTCTCAATAGTACTGCTACTGAAACTACTTCGACGCCTTATGCTACCATTATCGCGTCAACGTCTGCTACTACAGAGACTACGCTGGAGGAGAGGGAAACCCACTTGAAGACGTTCTCTGTAAATCTGACACGTTCGAATCCCGGTTCATCGCGTGTGTAGGTTTGTCAGCACCACACCCGTGCCCAAGAGTTTGCATGAGTCAAAGATCAACATCATGCTATGATCACACATTGAACTGAGACGTCGTGTGCTAACTGAGATAATGTTCAAAGCGGTGTTAACCCAAGCTCACTCAACCACCACAACATCCACTTTATAATAATGAGGGGCGGTGGGGTAGCCTAGTGGTTAAAGCGTTAGCTCGTCACGCCGAAGACCCGGGTTCGATTCCCCACATGGGCACAATGTGTTAAGCTCATTTCTGGTGTCCCCCGCCGTGATATTGCTGGAATATTGCTAAAAGCGGCGTAAAACTAAACTCAGTCAGTCAGTTATAATAATGAAATCTAAGCCACTGTTAACAATGTATAAACGTGTATATAGAGTAATGCCCACTAATTTATGGACACCATTCTTCACTGTTAATTAATAAAATAAAGATGCTTTAAATTCTATTTTGAAAAACTAACAGCTTATGCCATATAATTGTAGCCATGATCACACGAAAGCTGGAACTGCAACACGACGTCGCATCTCACGAGTACATCAATCAACCTGAGGCTAGCTTGGTAGGGGTAGCCCCTCGGTTTATGATTCGATTCTCTACATGGGTAGAACGTTTTGGTGCCCAAGTCTGTACGCTTTTTATGCCCATTTCTATTGAACGCCGAGGTGACAACACTGGAATAGTCCTAGAAGCGGCATAAAACAATACTCACTGAAGTACCAGTTCACATTGGCGATACCATCCCTGTTCTTTATCACTTCTAAGCGACTGTGACCACCAAAGGTCGGTTATCTATCTGCCAAGTGTCAGCTGTCGCTACAGAACGGGAGCGGTGGAATAGCCTAGTGGTTAAAGCGTCCGTTCGTCACACCGAAGACCCAGGTTCGATTCCCCATTTGGGTACAATGTGTGAAGCCTGTTTCTGGTGTCCCCCGCCGTGATATTGCTTGAATATTGCTAAAAGCGGCGTAAAACCGTACTAACTCACTCACTCACTCACTCACTACAGAGCGTGTTGTCACAGCTAAACAAGTTCTGTCAGTGTTATCCAGTCGCTGCCAATTTGCCCAAATTGTTGAAATTGTTTTCGTCAAATTTGTCCGAGACGTGTAAAAGGAGGACAAACCCCTTCGTCTTCGTCGCCAGAGACAGCCGGCACAAGGGGTCGGAGTGCCTGTAAACGCTGCCTGCGCTGTAATAAGATTAAAGTGCTTGACTTTAACTCATCTCCTGCCTCTCCAGCTCAAGCACTGGTTTGATCACCGCCGAGTCTCTCCGTGCTAGTCGATAGTAATTTACTGAGCTAGGCAGACAAACTCGCAGCAAATTGGCAACTGGCTTTGACCCTGATTTACAAGTACAGTATAATCATTCCGCTAATATCAGACGCGGTTTTGACCAGCTTCTGATCGGGACACTTGTTAGTGTGATCGCGGTGTCATTAGGGACGTTCAGCGTTCTCTTTAAAGTTGATAAAATTTGTTTTAATCAAATGCTTTCGTTTAAATAATGAGAAATCCTGACTGAACGAATCCGTGATGAATATAACTGTTTCGGCTTCAGAGTCGTAATTCAGGATCGTTTAGAAAGCGGTCCTAAAGACTTAGAATGTTGTTTTTGTTGGTATTTAAGGCATGAAAACGTGAAAACATAAAATAATTCATTTCAACTAAATAGTTTTTTTTAAAATGTGGAAGTTTGCGGTTAGGCGTGAAATTAGCCTGTCATGCTGTTTTCCAAGGGAAGACCACTCTTACTGCCTTGTTGCGACAGCTGTTTGAAAAACTGGGTCAGCCGTTCGGAGCTGTGAGGCAACACACAGGCAAATAGTAGCGCAGTTAGGGTTGCGCAACAAAGAGAACATGACCAGTCTTTCCATATGCGAGCGAAGGGAGCAAAGGTTGACAATAAATGAAATCTCCATCGTATTATGTGTATTTGCAATAATGTTTGTCTCACGATTGAACGGACCATCGTTAAATACTGCAACGTATTTCTCAACCTACAGCTGAGATTTAAAACATAAACTTCTTAATGCAGCCAGCTATCTAAAATAACACTGACATTGCAATAACTCATGTATTGATATATGTACCTCAATAAACACGTGCTATTTGTCGTGTATGTTGTTCACTGTTCAAGGCGATAGGTCAAGTGGGAAAAAGGTATATCCCCCAATGGCAACAATTAACTTTGAAGCATACCGACACTGACAGATAAGCGTCGTCTCGAAAAGTATTACAGCGCTGTTCTCCGATAACGAGACAGCGAATATTCGTCCTACAGAAGGCCTTAGGCTGTATTTCTATTCATGCACCCGTCACACCCAGGGTAATCTGTAGAAGGTTGTACAGATCCTGACGAGACATCAGTATATACCTCGTCCATTAACAAAAGTTGAATAGGGGCGGTGGGGTTGCCTAGTGATGAAAGCGTTCGCTCGTCACGCCGGAGACCCGGGTTCGATTCCCCACATGAGTGTGAAGCTCCTCTCCCCCACCCCCACCCCACCCCCTCCCCCCACCCCTTGATATTGCTGGAATATTGCTAAAAGCGGCGTAAAACCAAACTCACTCACCCAGTTGACTTGGTAACTGGCTAGTTAACAACGTGTTTCAATAATTCTGGTTAGTTTTAAATTCTACAGTAAACATTAATACATACACACGCACGCCCACACGCACATAAATACATACATACGTAGTCTTGGAAGTTATTTCAGGATCGTGTATATTGCTACATACAAAAGTGTCAGTTATGCCTTTATACTGATCGCTGTGGCATCTCAAAGCCTACAGCTTTAACATGTATGTAAATTGTGGAAACTGATATGAAAATCATCGTTAAATGATCGTTAGCGTCGAAACTGCTCATATACACCGATAATCACTAGTATTGGTCGCAAGTGCTATTCGCCCCCAAGACGGCAAGATTACATATGATTTCAAGCAAGTCCAGAGAATTATTTTAACATCCAAGGAAGCCACCACGTATTTTTAGTCATGAATTACACATCTCTAAGATCGTACTTTATCTGTTCACAGCTATTAATGTCTTTGGGTCTGTAGACAAAACCCCTTCTTCCTCCACGACCACTTCGTTGCCTAATTGACTTTCTGAATTGAAGCAGTGTTATTAGATCTGTCTTTAACTTAAGACTCATTCACAAGATCGATCGTCCAATTCACACCAATGTTCTAAACGTATTGGATAAATTGTGGTTTTCTAAAGAGTTGAATTGCTTTACGTGACTGGACGAGATTCCACTTACGAACCAGCTTCTTTGGGCCCGAGAGAGATTACGGGAGGATCGTTAGGATCGTTAATGCGATGTCTGGCGATGTAGTTTTATGTAATTCCATTACGTCTTCAAGTGCACGAAAACAGTAACACCATGCTTGGATCGTATGTATTGAACTTATTCGATGCTTTGAAATGTTCTGACTGTCCGTACAGATTGCTACAAACGTTAAATAATAGCATGTTTTCTGTCGATGAATTTGATACATGCACATTTAAATGTAACTAAATGACAGTTGTGCTGAATATTATATCAGTTGCACTACGAGATTCAGTGGAGGGATTATCTTTAATACCACGGTGTTGTGGTGATGTAGAATTATCGGGAACAACCATGCAATGGCCTTCGCTGTTTACAATGTTGAGTGTTTCCTGTTTTCGACATAGCTGTCTAGTACATGCATCCCTGTAGGATGCAGAGACGGATAGCTACACTTCCTGACAATGTGCAGCCTCTTGTCACTAACACGTTGGGCTTGTTCTCATATACCCAACTACAAAAGAAACGCGTCTTTTTGCTAAATCAGTTTATATTAACTAATTAACTCTCGGGATACATTATCCCATACAAATCTTGAAAAGAATTATTTGTGCTGCAGACTGGTGGAGAAACAGAAATTATTCGACTAAAAAGTATAGACTATCAAATAGTTGCCGGTCAAGCCAATGAATTATATACGACGAGTTCCATGAATACAGGTTAACTGGTCAATGCAGTTCAACTGGCAGGGCAAAGGTCTTTTCAAAACCATCATGGACAGTTCACCTACAATATGACATACATGTACAACCGAAATAAGGCGCTTATCAAACGTTGATGAAACGGATAAAATGTTTATTACTTTTTACCTCTTTCACTATCAATGTAGACTATTTGCGGCAGAGAGGCAAGAGTAAACGATTGACATGACCTAACTGATCACGAAGTTATTTAGTATGTATATATCTTGAAATACATTCAATAGTATATGCATTGTCTTTGCGTTTGAGAGTTCAAAGGGCGGTGGGGGTAGCCTAGTGGTTAAAGCGTTGGCTCGTCACGCCGAAGACCCGGGTTCGATTCCCCACATGGGTACAATGTGTGAAGCCCATTTCTGGTGTCCCCCGCCGTGATGTTGCTGGAATATTGCTAAAAGCGGCGTAAATCCAAACTCAGTCAGTCAGTCAGTGAGAGTTCAAATTGACTTGTTATTTTCCAGGAATACCTCGCAAAGTTCAAGTACCTGTCAGGTCCAAGCCAGGAGACAGGGAACCTCATGTCCCAGAAAGACATGACAAGGGCCATCAAGAACTTCCAGAGAGTCGGACGGATACCGGAGACAGGCATCGTGGACCAGAGGACCATCGAGTTGATGCAGAAACCCCGATGCGGGAACAGCGACGAGAACCTCTCCGATGCTGTACGTCGACGGAGGAAGAGATACTTGTTGGCGCCGACGAAGTGGGAAAAGAAAAACCTCACATTTAAGTAAGTAGTGTACTCCACAGTAATGTATTCAATATTTTCTGCGACCGTCGCCTAGACGCGAAACATTCGCGAAGGATTCGCGGCGCGGTGGTGATGGAAGGGAAGGTTTCCTATTGATGTGAATGTATCTATCTATGTTATAGTTGAGACAGGACCCGTTTAGTATGTGCAGGTCGACTATTTCAAACGGACGCCTTTCCTGCTTGGGATTTTAAGTAACCAAATTTATGTTTCAAAAAGATATTTGTTGTTACCCTGCCTGGCGCTCGACGTAAGGGGATAAAACGGAGACTGGTCGGCGTTCGACGTAAGGGGGTAAAACGGAGACTGGTCGGCTCGGAGTCAATACGTCTGAGTGTTGGATTAATGTATAAATGATTCAATCGGTATGTGAATTGGGGAGCGGTAGGAAATTGATTATAGTAAAATCATGAAATTCTACATGAATCAATAACGCACGCATGCACATACAAACACATACGTACACACATTCATATTGTAACTCCATTTCCCTTGAGCGCGTTTATTACCCAATGCTGTATAAAAGGGGCGGTTTTGCAATACGATGCTCAGCTACATTAATTTCATTCACGTCCTTGTTTCGCACACATGGTTGCAGACCCTGAAACAAATATATAAGTTCACGAGGAAGGCTATACTCTGGCAAATCTAGATCTAATTCCTGAAAAAATAACAACAGTTAACCTGCTTCTTTCACCACCTGTTGACCTGGTATGTGCTACCTTTATCTTGATGGACACGTATGTAAACTGCAGGTAACATTTAATGTAATAGGTCTCTTTATGAGGAAGTGTCATAATGAAATCCCAAAATGTTTTTCGTTTGAGACATAATGATAACGACGTATCTTAACAACGTATACCCTGGTAGATTAACAAAATGACTGGTCAGTATTATAGATATTTTCGAACTTTGGTGAAAGATTTATTTATAATTCTGAAGCCATTGTATATTAATATATATATTTAGAACCAAGTGTTGACCATATTTGGTAGCGAGGCAATAAGGAAGCATCACACGTGATCAAACAATACAAGCACTTATACAGGCATGACCTAATATGGAAAGTGCGGCCATGTTTTAGAAAAAAGTAATATTAACACCACAAGCGCAAGTGCTAAAAAGCGATTTGAATCTTTCCTAACTCAACCGATTCATTTGAATGAAATTCCAACTGTTCGGTGGCACAAATCTGTCGAAATAGGTCAAGTCAGGCAACCTGCCCTCAGATGTAGCTAGCTTCTGTTTGTGACCTACTTCCCGGTCGTTTATCTGGAACCAGTAAACAGAAGAAAATGAGGACTGGCGTTCTTCTGCTCACCCTCCTCCCCTCCCCACCTCCCCCGATGGTTTTGGAGAATGGTGTGAGAATCTCTTCCGAGCGTCCCAAAGACGATATAGTATTCCGCCTGGTGAATGAATTTACCCGACATTGACTACCAGACTGCAGTGTTTTATCATGAACTTGGTGTGCATAATTTGGATGATTGGTGACTGAAATACCATTTTGATATTTTACTTTGTGATGTCAGCTGAGCATACACCTACCCTAGCTACAATGTGGGCGACGGACAGATTATGGAATCATGATGTCTTTGATAGAGTCACGATCAAGGGGAACCAGTGCAACCATTTTCTGCCCTGCTTCAAGTAATAAGGGTCTTGTTTACAGCCGTGATAAGTATCATTATGGCGGATTCACATTTCTGAAGATATTTTGTTTGGTTCAAGATCCACGTCTGTTTGGTTAGGTCGCTCTTGAAAGAGCTGTGGTATAATTGTCCAGTTTTCGATCAGCTTTGGTGTCAAATATCAGTGCGGATGTACACAAGGGGGCAACACGACTCGCCCGAGCCGGCAGGAAAACAGCTCTCAGCGTTCCCGTACTCCATTAGTCATCTACGTTATAAACTTATGGGAGAATTTCAAAGCAAATCATTTGCAGCCAATCAGAACGCGTTTCCTGCGAGCTGGCCCCGGTACAGAGGGTATTAATTCTCAAATTTACTTCTTAAATTACATCTGCTTCGTGGGTTCCCACAGCAGACTGTCACAGACCTAGTCGCAGACGACAAAAGGACAGGCGGGAAACTTGGCTGGACATGGAACTGTCTTGGGAGATGCTGTGGAGGTCTTCGCACATGGTTTCGAGGATAGTCGCCTTGAGGTAACATGGCTGCAGATAAATGTGGCGTGTGTCCTTGTTCAGCGTGGTTGTGATGTATGAAGAGTCATCACAACCTGCATGAATGAGGACATGGGCAGACATACAGTCACGGAAAGTCTGGAACCTCTGAAACTACTTCACTGACCTACGGCAGAAGATGATCAACAGGTTTATAACGTAATTAGTGGATGAGAGAGGATGCACGCCTGGCGTGACTTCATTGCCAAGTTTCTGTCTACTGCGTTTCTTTGAGATAATCAAATAGATTCGGAGGCTGTGCCACGTGGTGTGTGAAGGGATCTGTGGCTCTGGTTGTTTCGTTATTGTGTTTGAACAACATCTTAACACCGGGTGTCTTGTGTTGGAGGATTTATTCAGGGTTTGTTCGAAAATGGCGTCGTGTGTCTGTCGTTGAAATTGTCACGTAATTGGTTTCTGAAATACGGCGTAGCATGTTGAAGCTCTTTCAGTTGTCATTCCTGCTACATGTTGACAATGAGCTGTTGTATTGGTTTCGTATCAACATATTCTAGTTTCCTGGTTTCTGTACTTTGTTGATGTCAGCATCCATGTTTTTGGCGGCAAAACAAACGAGTTCCTCTCTTCCCTCATCTCGCCCCCAATCTTAAGGTCAGGTCAACCCTCAGAGCTGGCTTGTAACGATACACCGTACACAGCTACCGTCTCTTAGCGTCAGCTCTCGGCAGTGCTAGGCACCATCCGACCATTCCTTGGTTTAGAATTACGGCTGAAATGAGGCGTGTTCTGACTCTGTGAGGAGATTTATGCCCTACGATAACTTCACATTATGACTCAGCCGTTGCCCTATTGCTTGCCTTTGTGATGAAAGCTGTTCACATATGAAGGTGGTTTATATCAATATATCAAATATATATCTTTGTAACATAGCACTACACTGCACAGTCGACAACAGATGACAAATAGCACTGAACGTGATAGAATACAAAAGTACGAACTCGTAGTAATAGTCTATGCATTTAAATAAAACATTTGCATGTATATTTGAATATATTTGACCGTCGCACTATTAACTGAACGACAGGCTAGGCAAGATTGATCACAAACGACTTACTATTTTCATGAATTATTTGCATAAACGTATATTTGAAAGGATATTGGCACCATGAGCCAAAAGTTCAAATGGTCACAAATGATTTTGAACAGACATGAAAATCCATCAAAACCTGATATATTGAAACTGGCATTTACGTCTAAATATATTTAAGATATTGCACTCAATGTGATGTAATATGACTTGGAACAAACTTGAAACTCTGGTGAACGTTAATACAAATATTCACAAGGACGATTCATGGAACGACACCCACAATGTGAAATATGTATCCGGCAATAGCCATAAAAACACAAACCAGCGACGGCGGCGTACGAGGAACATGGAACCATTTAGCAGAATAGTTTAAATATATCAAATAGAATAGAATAATTATAGGACATTTCACAAATACACCACTAATTTAGATATAAACAGGGACGTTTTGAAGACTGTATGGTGGTACAATAAATGAAGAAAGAAAGATATGAATTTTAGATTTGCGACGACGTGGAACCAAATGCTTGTAAGGAATGCTTGTACTAAGCTGTCATCGAAACACATTGCTGACATACATAATATAATTTTGCTTGTAACAAATAAAACCATTTAAATTGAAAAGGAACCCACGTGAGACCAGAGAACCTGGACTTGCTTCGTTTAGGGCTTTAGCATAACAGGCAGGGCTAGGCTGTAGGGGAAATAATGTGGTTCAGGGACTGTGTTTCATATCATGTGATCTGTGAGCCAAATGATTAAGTTACAGCTATCAGCGAAGATTCCAAGCAATATTTCATATATTCCACACCGGTAGATGTTTGCTTTCGTGAGCTATTTCAGCTATTTTACACACATACGTTTTGAGGCATTTCCGAATTCGTACTTCCGATTATACCCAGTTAACGATAGTTTTTCTCGGGGATATTGTGAAAGTGTCCTCCTGTGTGTGTGTATTGCCAAATTCCGACATGCAGACAGTACCAACAGTTCCTTATCTCGTAGATTTCTTGCAGGGCAGACATGTTTCCATGAACGCGTCTATCACAGTAACCAGGCAACACATGTATCTAAGTTGCTGGGCAAAACAGAAAATAACGTTATCAAAGTGTTACTTGACTGAAAACAGGTGTTCCAAAACCCGCCAAATCACGTCCTGTTCCTTGCGTTATTCTACCCTCCCCTCGTCATCATACCACGTTATATACCCTATCCTCTTGTTCATACCACGTTACATACATTACCCTCGTGTTCATACCACGTTACATACCCTACCCTCGTGTCAATAAAATATACTCTACCGTGTTCATACCACGTTATATACCCTACCCTCGTACGCGTGTTTATACTACGTTATCCATCCTACCCTCGTGTTCATACCAAGTTATACTATATACCACACCCTCGTCTTCATACCCCGTTATATACTCTACCCTCATATCCATAGCAAGGAAAATACCCTACCCTCGTGTTCATACCACGTTATATACTCTACCCTCGTGCTCATACCACGTTATATACCAGGGCGGTGGGGTAGCCTAATGGTTAAAGCGTTCGCTCGTCACGCTGAAGACCCAGGTTCGATTCCCCACATGGGTACAATGTGTGAAGCCCATTTCTGGTGTCCCCCGCCGTGATATTGCTGGAATATTGCTAAAATGGCCGAAAAAAACTCGATCACTCACGTTAAATACCATACCCTTGTCGTCATACCACATTATATACCCTACCCTCGTGTTCATA